GTTGTGAATGCTTGAGAAGTTGAGGAGATTGTGAATTTATATATGCTTGAGAAATTGAGGTTGTGTATTTATTTATTTAGGTTGTGAATTTATATTTTTGTAAATGCTTGAGAACTTGCGGTTTTAAACCGCTAATTTGGGGTGTGGTAAACCGCAAAACGCGGTCGGTTTGCGGTTTCAAAAATCACAAAATCACAAATCGTCGGTCGGTTTGCGGTTTGAGTAAAAATTCGCGGTTACCGAAACGCAACCACCCCTAGCTAGGGTGGTAATTTTTGACTAGTGACGACACAAAACTTTTTTTGGGCTAACGACAAAACACCCCCTCAAGGGTTTAGGGTTATTGGGTCCTCTTTTTCACCTATTTTTCTATTTTTTGGGAGGACATAGCATACTTCCTCCTTCCTTACTCTTAGGATCTAGTTTGTTACGTGCCCATGACAAGCCATGACATACCAATTTCAAGCCAAGACGTTTTAGTTTATATTTGCAAACCACAATTACACCATACAATGCTATTTAGGAACCCACAAAGAACAAAGCTAGTCCCATGCCCATATAGAACCAATTATGTTCGATTGTATGGCTTCCTCCGTGTTTCTCGATTGTATGGCTTCCTCCGTGTTTCTCAATTGCCACATTTCTGCCGCACTTCTCTTTGAGTGGAGGTCCACAAAGCTTATTCCCAAAATAACTGGACTCATCAAAGCTCTGAAGTAGAGTGCCTAATGGAATCTGCCCCGTCAAATTGTTATAGGACAAGTTCAAAAAACCGAGAAATGTCAACTCCGCCATGCTCGGATAAATTTCACCAGAAAGTCGGTTCCTGGACAAATCAAGACATTCTAACCGTCTCATGTCACCAATCTTCGATGGGATTCTTCCAGTCAAAAGATTGTTTGATAAGTTCAATGAAACCAAGCCGATGAGGCTGGTCAATTCCTCTGGGATCTCCCCAGATAAATTGTTGGATGAAAGATCCAAGCTACTAAAAAAAGGATATATTCGGGTTAAAAATAATTCGGAACCTTCGATAAACAAGATAGCATTTTCTATGTACTTGCCATAAAAACCATGCTTAAATATGAAGAATGAAGATGGGTCCCTGATATCAATTATTGTAGACGACATCCCTCTAAAATTGTCGAAACATGTTGGTATTGTTCCGACAAGATTATTATGTGCGAGGTCCAAGATTCGAAGACTTGGGAGATTGCAGAGTTCATAAGGAATATCTCCATGAAGCTTATTCGAACGAAGGCTGAGAACCATCAATTGTAAAAGGCTTTTCCCTATCCATGTTGGTATGCTTCCAATAAAATTGTTCTCTCCAACGTCAATAAGTAGCAAGTTCCTACAATTCTGCAGTGACAGAGGCAATTCTCCAGAGAGGTGATTATTGCGTAAATGCAGTGATTGGAGGAAAATTAAGTGTCCAATGGAGCTCGGAATGTTCCCGGTGAAATAGTTGTTTCCTAAATCGACCACGATCAAGTTTTTCCAATTTATCCAACAATCAGGAATCTCTCCTGTGAGATTGTTGCTGCGAAGATGAAGACTTGCGAGCTGCTTTGATTCATCTGTCCTGTCACAAAGGAAGTGAAAGATAGATCCGGAGAATGATGAATTGGAAAGATCTAGCACAGCAACTGTGGAGGAGACGAGAGGTAATGGACCACTGAACTTGTTAGAGCTTAGGTCAACCGTTGCTGAAGGGGCAGTAACTATTCTTGGAACCTGCCCGTACAATTGATTTTGAGAGAGATCCACAAATGCCAGAGAAGAAAAGTTCCAAAACCAGATTGGAATGGTACCAGAGATTCCTGTATTGGATATGCTTAGTTCCTCCAAGCGCGTTTGACTCTGAAGCCATCTCGGCAACTCTGGTCCCAGATGCCAAGAATTTAAGTGCAACATGAAAAGTTGAAAAGGAGGAAGCCAACCTCTACTGGTTTTCAGAGTCAATGAATTATCAGTTGCATGAAGTTCCTCTAATCTTGTTAGATTAGTAAAATGGACTTCAGAGACATCACCCTTCAATGAATTATTAGAAATGTTCAATAGTTTTAAGCTTGACAGACTTCCTATGGACGGTGGAATGGGACCAGATATTGAATTACTAGAAAGATCAAGGACGGCTAAGTTTTGAAAGTTTCCTAGCTCACCTGTTAACTCTCCAGAAAGATCATTATAGGATAAGCTCAAAGACTCTAGTTGACTAGAATTACAGCTAGAAGAACTTTCAAAGATTTCTGATACCCTTCCGCTAACATCGTTCCAGGACAGATCAAAAACAGTCAACTTACAGAGATTTTTCAATGAATTTGGGATTTTCCCTCCAAGTTGATTATGATTTAAGTCAAGATTGACAAGGGCTGTCAAATTTCCAATGGAACTTGAAATATCAGCATGCAAATGATTGTATGAGAGAAATAGGGATTCAAGATGGCTAAAGCTGTACAACCATTTTGGTATGGTAGAATTGATAGAGTTCCTCTGAAGATTAAGAACTCTAAGACTAGTCATGTTGGCAATACCACCTGGTATGTGATAAAGTCCACAATCAGACATATCTAAGTACTCTACCAAAGAAGGGAGCATGTTTGTCTCCTGCAACCGATCAGATGCTTTGCTAAGATTTACACCATGCATGTCCAAGTACTGCAACAGAGAAAGACCAGAAATCCATTGAAGGTTATTAACCTCAAAATAGTTACCGTGGAGATCGAGATGGTGTAGACTAGAGAGGTTTCCCAGTTGATGAGGAATCACTCCCTGAAAATCTGCTTGTGAGAGATCAAGATATCTTAAACTTGCAAGAGAACCGAAGAAGTCTGGAATCTGGCTTCCGTCAAAGCTATTCTTGCTTAAGTCCAAGTAATTGAGATTCTTTAAATTGAGCAGAGAAGGATTTAGCTTACCGCTCAAATAGTAAGTACCAAGGCGGAGCTCGCGGACGTGACCGGTTAAGTTGTGGCAGACAACTCCAGTCCAATTGCAGCATTCTCCTTCACCAACCCAAGATGAAAGCAGAGTTAAAGAATCATTAAGATCTTGCTTGAACATCAAAAGGGCTCGTCTCTCGATTTCTTTGCAATAAGGCACACCCAGATTTCCATTGCATAAACAAATGATAATGGTAGCAATGCTTAGAAACCTGACAAGTAAAACAACTCCTCCCATGGCTGTATGAATAAGGTTGTATTGATTAACCTGATGTGTATGAGCAATGAGTTATCTGAAGTGCTATTTATCTGAAGTGATACTTTCCTCTTACTAGCAGGAGCAGGATCAATCATCAATGACCTTCAAGTCCTTTCAGGGACTTCTACGAAATTACTGCTTAAGTCCTCCAACTTTTAGGGAAACTAAAATTAAAAAAAGAAAAAGAAAAAAATAGAAATGGGAATGTGCAACAATACCCCAAAAAGGTCAGTCAACAAAAAATTGTTCAAAGTCACCAGATGAGGAGCGTCCTCACTTATTTTCTGAGTAGATCCCCATCAGGGGATGGACCATCAGTGAATAGGATTAATTAATTTTGATAAGAAAAGGCAACGCTGACGGTCGTTTTGGTTTTGTCATTTTTCATTTTTCTTCTATTGACGGACTTGTTTGTGGACCTATTAGTCCATACCGACTTTGTCTACCATATGAGGGGCTGGATATGTAGAAAAAATAAAGAGAGGCTTTTGTTTTTTTTTGGTGACTCTCCCAGTGCTTGGGCTTCAATGGACAACTATTTCCGTGATCAGATCTTTTAATTTCAGTCTTGACAGCACAAGGTTAATATAACATAACAGAGAGAATGCAATGTTGTTGGTGACAAAAGGTAGAGAAGTGAAGTATAACACATTGCTTGGACCTTTCAAGCAACATCCCATCTGGAGAGATGTGAGATTGTTAATGGCCCGATACAAACTTATGATGTGTAAGTCCCACATCAAAGAATATAATAATACCTTATCAAAAAGAATATAATAATTATCTACGATTCAAATATAGGTGGTCCACTATTGACAAAAAAATATATTATATATATAGGTAGTCCACTCTTAATTGCATTGATGCTTTTAAGTATAAAACTCACACCTCGAGGTCCATTAGGCCTAACTCAACCCTTTGAGAAATGGCTTGGTCAATTTCCAGGGAAGTAACTGTTGGTTATCCAAATCAGAGACACATGGTTCCAAGATTCTTAAGAAATACTTTTTTGGTTGCAAGGAGGTCCGAATTTCAGCTTGAAGTTTATTTTGAAATTGAGTATATAAAAAGATATGCCATGTCAGTTTGAGAAGTAACCCAGATACTTGCATTAATTATATATTCTAAATAACTCATCATTGCTTGGACGAAACTTAAATCCAATTGGAACATCAACATACTCACAAGGTGCCATATGTAAATATGTGTAGTTTCCTCTTGGACTTTGCTGAGAAGAGAAGGTTAAAGATAAAATATTTCTTGGTTTCTTGGAAAGGAAAGAAAAGGAGTACGTAGGCTGGTTATGGTTTCTCTGGGACTTTGAGTGGCAGTGACAACGGATTCTCCAATGAGTTTCTTGGAGCGATGTGGGCTAGGGTTTTGTGATTTCTGTGTGAACGAGTTCCTTCCTTCCCTTCCAATATATGTAGGACTATTACCAGGCCCAGTCCTGGTCCAGGTCGAATAGGGCAACCGCTATAAAAAAAAAAGGTGGGCCCAAAGATAAAATCCCGAAGAATCCGTCTCCCATGTTTTGGTTTTTTTGTTTTTTTTTTCCTCCTGTGTCTCCCACTTTTCATGGCAGTACAATACAGCTGTCAGGCTTTGATAATTATCAGCTATTTGTAATATGATAAGGCTATATCTATACGTTCGGGTTAAGTTGTAACAACTTTGTAAGTTACTTGTGCCCCAAGCATTTTCATTCAGACAGAAACTTGAAGTAGTTTCTTTACGTATGATGTTCTATATATTCTCACTCCCAAATCGAATCCTATTTTCCCTCTATCATTCCATGATTGCCCTTTCCCCTTCTTCTTCTTCCACTACAACCTAAAAATAAAACCTCATGGACATGGAATTTCTTAGCATTCGGAGACACGAATGGTCATTTGTGACCGTGCTTGTTACAGACATGATTGGAGCTGGCGGAGCTCCTCCATGTTGGATTGGATCTGGGTTCGGGTGGTGGACTCGACGGTTCGGATCTCGGAGATGGGTTTGGAGCGGAAGAAGGCCTCGGCGTCCCTAGAAGCCGAGGCGGCAGTGGCAGAGGCGGTGTAGGAGGCGCCGCCACTGAGGGCATCCCCGGAGCTCACTCTCATTATCGATTGTTGGGATTTTTGGGTTGGGTGAGTTCAGAGATGACGATGCGGTTGAGGTTGCGGTTGCAGTGGATCAAAACGACATCATTCTCCCTCTTTTTTGTGTTTTTGATCAATTCGTTCGTCTTCGTCCTTTATTAATCGAATCGAAGTTGTTAAAACCCTAGTCAAGCTGCTAATTTTGCCTGGTAGATGCTCAACTTGGGCCTGCATGTCTCTGATATCTTAGCTGTGGGCCTTTTTAGTCTCTTTGTTTTTGGGCCCTCATTTCTTGCGACTCGCGAGAGAGACAGATATTTAACAAGTAGAAGAAATCTCAGCTTTGCTGACACAACAAAACTACAAATTTTCATGCAATCATATATTTTGAGTACTTTTTTGGTCACTGTATTTTACACCAAATTTCAATTTAAGTACTGAGAAACAAATTTAGCTAAATTGATCATTGTATTATTAAAAGTTTTCAATTTATATACTTACAGTTTGTTTCCATTAAAAACTTAACGATGAACCTATAAATTGTAAATTTTGGTTAAAAAGTGACTAATTTAGCAAAATATTTTTCTCAGTGACCAAATTGAATTTTCATGTAAAATCTAGCGACCAAAAAAGTATTTAACCATATATACATAAACCCCCATAAAAGATAAAATACATATATACTTATTTACAGTGGCGTAAGTGCAAGAAGGTGCAGTTGCATCTCCTATTTAGGGAAAATCTCTTAGAGAGGCCGGAATATGCCCCTATACATGTGCCCACTCCTAAGAGGCTTTGCTTTCTTGTTTGCTTGCATTTTGTTTATGTTTTGTTTTTCATGAATTATGAATGACCTTAGTATTGTTTAAATTGTGAGGGTATTTACTTTTAGTATTTTAAATACTGCCCCTCCTCTAAAAATTCATGGCTCTGTCTTTGTTTATTTATATATAAAAAGATAGAGGTCTATATTTTTATATATTTTTAAACATTTCAAATAATTTCTCCAAAGAAAAAAAATATTTTAAAACTACCTATGCCACGTTAGTTCATTTAATGATTTTTATTTCAAAACTAACCGAATGGGGCAACTTTGGTCAAATAATGGAAGTTCAAGGGAGAGATTGAGTCATTTAAAACATCAAGGGACAAACATAGACTATTTGGAAACCACATGGGGCATTTGAACAAATAAGCCCCAAAAAAGGATTTTTAACCGAAATGGTTCTTCAACTATTGCTCAAGTTTCATTTTGGTCAACGAATTAAAATTTTCATAATAGTACTCCAACTCTCTATTATTAAAATGGTCCACTGTTAAAGTCTGTTAATATTATTATTACCTTAAATTGAGGAGTAAAATTGTTCATATGAATTAAAATATTAATACAGTAATTAAAAATTAAAGGAAACAATTATAAAAATCTTTAATGATCCAAACCATCTATTTTTTAGGTCTTCATTCATAGATCATCCTTATAAAAAATTAGACAAATCGGAAACCGTTTCGACATCCAATTGTGTCTTACAAAATCAATGAACACGGTGCTTCAAGAAAGTACTAAAATTTCAATAACTCAATTGAGTGGTCAAATGATATCGGATTCAAGTGATTTTTTGTAGAGATAATCTTTGAATGAGTATCTACAAAATAGACGGTTTGGATTAGTGAAATACAATCCAGAGTGGGGCCTATAAGGGGTGTCCCTCAAATAAGCTTATTTGAGGGATCCCTCAATGGAAGCTCTCTGTATATATATGTATAAGGAATGCGCCAACAACTCCTAGGGACTTTAAATCCATGGATTTGTGCCCTCAACAAGATCAAGATGTTTTTGGCTCCTCTGTTCCTAGATAACAGGTTCCCAAGATGGCTGATTCTAGGTATGCCCAGATATAATTTCTATATATTTAAAGCATTGTCGGGTTCCCTCAGCCAATACTTTGTCAAATGCTGGAAAATAGTGGCTTGTTCATCATGGCTCTCAGTGTGAAGAAATCTTCCTTAGGAGAGGCTCAAAACGCACACATGACCATCTTCTATGGCGGACAAGTATCGTGTTCAACGAAACAATTGACACAGAGAGGAATTAGGTGAAGAGCTATTGGTGGGTTGCAGGGATGGACTGACTTTGACGGTTTTACTCCTCAATTTCACGAAATAATTAATAGACTTTGACAGTCGGACCGAAAAATTTAATCAGTAGACCCAAAAATTTAATCCGTGAAAAGTTTCGGTCAAAAACCCTATATATATTTAATAATTTATTGACCCATAGTCTTATAAAGAGTTCAAATGAACTCTAAATTTCCAATGTGGGACAAAGTTCAAATCAAACTAACTTATAAAGCCAACATCAGTTAATATAAAGCTCTTCTAAGTTTAAATTTCCTTACTTAAATCAATCCATACCAAATTAATCTCTCACAGATGTCCTCGTTTGAATTGAAATTGTGGTATTTTGGGGGTACTTCTTAGCTGATCTCGACTGTGATTTGCCTGATATAAGGTAATTTAGTGTTGGTTAGGTAGCATGGGTTTAACCTTTTTATAGTAAAGGAATTATTAGAATGCAAAGAGAACTAAATTAGTTGTATCAAACTTTTTTTGTAATATTTAAATTGTGGTAAATTATGAAAGTAAAATCATCAACTTACGCTCATATATACACATTTATATGTATTATGCTACTACACTTTTATATGTATTAACAGTTCATATCACAACTTTCTTTGAATTTATAATTATCGAGATGATATAGCAATTGCCAAAAGAAAGTCTAATGAAAAATAAATGACATTATGCCAAAATATGTCCTACACGTTATGAAAGACTAGCTTTTTTAAATCTTAGTCATTTGCTCCACTGACCTTGAACTCCTTATTCACGTTTTGTTTAAGTCAGTCAACTCAAAGTAAACGATCAGTGAATTAATTGGAGCTTCCAAGCAAAATATCTCATCAAAGCTCCAGGCTTTGATGGGATCATGGGAGGGGATCATGGGAGGCAAATTACAGTTGAGTGGACATGACCCATATGATGCTGACCCACAGGATGCAGACAAACTTGTATGAAACCATCTCAAGTCAAGTCAATACCTACAACAATTTGTCATGAATTTTGATGTGGAACTCGTGATTCTCAAGTCTGTGAAGTTAAAATCTTATGTGGAGCCACACACATTCATTCTTCCAACCAATACCAAATTTCCACAAGTCTCATCATCCAGTAATTTCCCCCGTTCATTGAAATACATGTTCAGACCAGAAGAAAAAGAAAGGCTACCTAATTAACTTTATGCAAAGACTATAATTCAATAGATATTCTGTGTTCCAAATTAATAATTCCATGATTCATTCAATTACTAGCAGAAGCAGATCATGGATGTGGTCCTGTTTTGTGTGTTTATCTTGTATAAATATGTGTGTTTATAAAATAAAATAAAAAATTGTGGTAAATTATGAAAGTAAAATCATCAACTTACTAGTCTAGTTGTCTTTGTTAATTTTCATTTCTCCAATTTATTGTGGTGCATCAAGGCATGCTCGTAAGTGGATTGTCAGTGCTTAGAAAAAGGGCATCCGGCACTTGATTTTCCTTGTGTCTTTTTTATTTTGACTGACCTATAAATTAGTTACTAACGACTTTGTCTAATAAACTCTCTTGACTTGCCAATTGCTTTGACCTCCAAAGTTTACCAAACAAATAGAAATAATTTGTTAATAATTGTATTTCCTATCATAATTTACTTCTTCATTCATTATTTATAGGTTAAAAAAAATAAAAAAAGGACGAACGGGGTCTAACCCAATGAAAAAGGACATTGACTTGTAAATAAGTAGTTGCAGATTCGAATTCTCATGACACATTGATAGTGTGTATACCCCATGTAGTATGATTTTCAATTTAAGTCTAATTACTTTAGGAGGAGGAAGTGTCATGCAAATAATCATTAACTTTCTTTTCAATACGATCATATGCTTGTTTATATGTTTTTCTTAGGAAAGAAGATAACAGCTCATGACAGATGAGAATATTATATATCTTGAATTAGTAAGAAAAAGGACAAACATAAAACATACTGTAAGAATCAAAATCCATGAGGAGGAAAGAGGAAGACATTAGATGAACACAGCCAAATCACTACATGTGTATCAAAGGGTTGGTTTATTGAGTTCACGAATGCCTCCTCACACATAAAAATAATTACAATCATTGAAACTAACTCAGAATTTAGTTTGGATGAGGTAAAATAACTCAAATTTTAGTTAAAGGTCGAGAATTTAAGAGAACTAAGAAATTGACAATTTCCTTGTTTGGGCAACTTGAACGTGGAATTTATTAAATGATGTGTGGAAAAAATCGTGGAAATTAGAGCATCAAATTCCCAAGTTTAATTTCCACCAAAATAGGTGTCATTTCACAATTTCCATAGTGCCATTTACAAAGTTCAACATACATAAATCTAAACGCTGAAATCTTCAATTGCCAGAAATTGAAATGATGGAAATTGAAATTCCATCATTTTGGAATTCTATGTAATTTTTAATTTCTTTATTCAAATGAAGATAATAGTGTGCCTTTTTCCCAGAAATCAAATAGGCAGATATAGAGAAAAATCAAACCTGCAACTTAGAAAAAACCAATTTCATATAGATAAAGAAAAGAAAAGAGGTAAAATGGGGGGGAAAAAAAGGAGGTTCACCAAAAAAACCCATCAAAGCATCCTATCATATAAAAAACACATTAAGTCCAAAAAATTTTAATAAAAAACCCAGTGAACTATTTAAATGGCTTAAAATTACTAAATGGCCTTAAAAACAAATCAAAATTAAAAATAACCAAAATAAAGGCCTACCAACAGATTCACCTAAAATTAAACTAATTGCACATCCCAATTTCCACAAGAATAAAAAACAACACTCATATATACACATTTATATGTATACCACAACTTTCTTTGAATTTACAATTACCGAGAAGATATAGCAATTGACCGTCCCTTTCGTTTTGTCAATAAAATGAAGAAAATCTGAAGTTTATCAACCAATCAAAATTATTTTTCATTGAAACATTCCAAGCTCGTGAGAAAAGAGGACTTTAATGATAAATTATGGGTTTAGGACAAAACAGTTGAAAGGGGAAAAGTAAATGATATTCTATTCTATGTGAGAAGAGAAGATCCCGTTTGGACACGTCCTCTCCACCAAAGATGTATAAATAGCACGCTAGATGACTCATTATTGCTCACAGAGTAAGTATTTAGCTCATGAATATGGGTAGCACTGTTGTCAGGTTTCTAAGCATTGCAACCTTATTTACCATTTGCTTATTATTATGCAATGCAAATCTGAGTGCGCCTTGCAAACAAAATGAGAGACAAGCACTTTTGAAGTTTAAGCACGATGTTGAAGGTCCTTTAAATCAGCTTCCATCTTGGGCTGGTGAAGGAGATTGTTGCAATTGGACGGGAGTTGTCTGCGACAATTTAACCGGTCATATCCGCGAGCTCCACCTTGCCGATACTTACAGTGGTAAGATAAGTCCATCTCTCCTCAATTTAAAGCATCTGAGCTACTTGGATCTAAGCAACAATGATTTTCAAGGAATGCAGATTCCTAGCTTCTTAGGTTCTCTCAAAAGTTTAAGATATCTTAACCTCTCAAACTCAATGTTCGTCGGATTAATTCCTCATCAATTGGGAAATCTAACGAGTCTACAGGTTCTTGATCTGCACGGTTGCCAACAAGTACAAGATTCTTATGATTACGATGACCATTTGGAAGGTACGACTGACTCCCTTTCGGTTGAGAGCCTTCAATGGATTTCTGGTCTTTCTAAATTGCAACACTTGGACATGAGTTGTGCAAATCTTAGCAAAGCATCTGATTGGTTGCGGGTGACAAACACACTCCCGTCTTTGGTAGAGAGCTTCCATATGTCTGCTTGTGGACTTTATCACATACCTGGTGGTATTGCCAACATGACTAATCTTAAATTCCTTGATCTCCAGGGCAACTATATCAGTTCTACCATACCTAAATGGTTGTACAGGCTTAGCCATCTTCAGTCCCTAATTCTTTCCTACAATTTATTTCATGGTGAGATCTCGTCTTCCCTTGGAAACCTCACATCCATTGTCAATCTTGACTTCGATTCTAATCAACTTGCAGGGAATATCCCAAACTCTTTGGGAAATCTTAGTAAGTTGACTACTCTTGCTATGTCGGAGAACAATCTCAATGGAAGCGTGTCAGAAATTTTTGAAAGTTTTTCTAGGTGTAGTTCAGGTCAAATAGAGTCATTGAGTCTATCATCGAACAATCTTTCTGGCCATTTAACAGATAAGCTTGATCATTTTGAAAAGTTGCGCCTCCTTTTTCTTGATAATAACTCAATATCAGGTCCCCTTCCACCGTCCTTTGGCAATCTGTCATGCCTAGAAGCTGTGGCAATTGGTGATAATAATTTAACAGGTGTTGTCTCTCAACAACATTTCACTAATCTTACAAGATTGGTGGAATTTGACGCACCTGGAAACTCATTGACTCTTGAAACTACTCCACACTGGCTTCCTCCATTTCAACTTGAAATGTTGATTTTAGATTCTTGGCATCTGGAGCCATCGGAATTGCCCATGTGGCTTCAGAGTCAAACGCAGTTGGTTGCTCTTAGCATGCTCAACACAAGAATTTCAGGTACCATTCCGACTTGGTTTTGTAACTTTTCTTCCCAATTACAGCATATTGATCTCTCTGAAAATAAATTGTATGGTGAGGTTCCACATATATTTCCCAGTTCGCGTTGTTTCGATATTTTCTTAGGTTCTAACCAGTTCAATGGTTCATTACCTCTTGTTTCATCAAAAGTAGGTATACTAGATCTTTCCAGCTCATCGTTTTCTGGAACGCTCTTTCACTTCTTCTGTAATAATAGTAGTAAACCAAAGACACTTAGAATTCTTCGTCTGGACAACAATCTTCTATCTGGAAAAATTCCTGACTGTTTCAGAAACTGGGAACGATTGGAAGTTGTAAATTTAGAAAGCAACCATTTAATTGGGAATATTCCAAGGTCTTTGGGCTACTTACTCTCCCTCACATACTTGCACTTGCGCAATAATCACTTGCATGGGGAGTTGCCTCCATATCTAAAGAAATGTACAGCATTTATTATTCTTGACCTTAGTTACAATAAGTTTCTAGGAAAGATACCAATGTGGATTGGAACAAACCTTTCAAGTTTGGCGGTTCTTAGCCTTCGTTCAAATCAGTTTCATGGCCACATTACGTACAAACTTTGCGATCTCACATCTCTCCAAATATTGGACCTCGCACATAACAATCTCTCAGGAAGAATGCCAATATGTTTGTACAAATTTCAGGCGATGGCTTCAAACTCTGAAATCTCTCGTTTTTCCTTTGAAGATGGAAATTATAATCATTATGATGATACATTTGAAGATAACGAAATAGAGACTGCAATATTGGTGTCGAAAGGTAGAGAAGTGAAATATGGAAACAGCCTTCTTAGATTGGCAACTAGTTTGGACCTTTCAGACAACAATATCTCTGGAGAAATCCCTGAACAACTTACCAGCCTCATCTACTTGCAGTCAGTGAATTTGTCAAACAATCTTTTGAGTGGAAGAATCCCTCCCAAGATGGGTGATATGAGATGGTTAGAATCTCTTGATTTGTCCATGAATCAACTTTGTGGTCAAATTGCTCCAAGTATGTCAAGTTTGACATTTCTCAGTGTCTTGAACTTGTCCTACAACAATTTGATAGGCGAGATTCCGAAAAGCACTCAACTTCAGAGTTTTGATCAATCCAGTTTTATTGGTAATAAACTTTGTGGCCCTCCACTTGAAGTGAACTGCAGTAATACCAACGGGACAGTACCACCAGTAGCAGATCAGAAACACGGAGGAAGTTATTTGCTTGAAGACGGTTGGTTCTATCTGAGCTTGGGACTAGGATTTCTGTTCGGTTTTTGGAGTGTTCTTGGCTCGTTGTTGTTGAACTTGCCATGGAGCATTGGTTTTAATCGGTTCCTAAATAGCATTGTGAAGAAGCTTTATGGGGTCATTGTTGAACATTTTTAACTATTTCTGCAGGTAGATTGACCTTGGTTTGTTCTTTTAGATGTTATCGTTACCAAAAGTTTAAGAGATGCTTTAAATAGGATGTACTTTTCTTGGATATCGATGCTTGTAATCGGGGTCAGGCTTTAAATCCCCCCCTTCTTTTTTCAGTTGTTAATCAATAAAGTTATTCCTCGTACCGCCGAGGTTTCTTTCAAAAAAAAAAAAAGAGATGCTTCAGAAAATTCGAGTCTACTGAGTTTGAATAGGATGAAAGATAAAAGAATGCAGAGGGATAAATATTCCCAATCAATACGATCAGAGGCTTGTTTATATGTTTATTGGGGATGGACAATCAGTGCATAGGATTAATTAATTGTGATACGAAAAGGAAACGCTGACGTTCGTTTTGGTTTTCTCATTTTTCATTTTTCTTCTCATGACGGACTTGTTTGTGGACCTATTAGTCCATCCATACTGACTTTGTCTACCAGATGTGGGGCTGGATATGTAGAAAAAAAGGGAGGCTCTTTTTTATTTTTTTGGGTGACTTTCCCAGTGCTTGGGCTACAATGAACAACTATTTCCGTTTTCAAATCTTTTGTTTTCACTCTTGACAGCACAAGGTTAATAACATAACTTAGAGAAGGGATATTTGTTGAAATGTTATCTGAACTTATACTCTAGTTTTAATTTGTCACCTAAAAAAAAATAATAATAAGAGAAATATCACTTGAATTTTTCAAAATCTATAATTTGTCATCTGACTTTAACATCATCCAATTTTCCATCTATAAGTAAGGGTATTTTAGTCTTTTCATTTTTAAGAGGTTTAAAAATGAAAAAATAATTATACAAAGTTGTATATATTTTAAAATAAACTATTAAAAATCAAGCCAAACATTAAAAAATTGATTTCGACAAAAAAAATTAAAAATTAAAAATGTGAAAATTGCTTTTTTTTTTTTTTTCCATCCTTGTCGTCTCTCTCTATTCTCCCTTCCCAACCACACCTCCCCTCTCCTCTGTCTTTTTTCTCCCCGAAGACTTGAGCACCTCATCCCCACCTTTAATTCTCCTCTAACATGCCCATTATTCTCCAATCCGCTCTTGTCTCCCATCTTTATTTTATCTCCCAGGTAAGCTACTAGGCAATAAAAATTAAAGGTTCATAAATGCATTTCTTTTTCAATTGACATGGCACTTGTTTTCTCTGTATAGTTGCTTTACTGGAGGTATGGTGGGAATTCCTGTCAATGTGGTTTTGATTGCAGCTTGGCAGATATGGCAGCCTATTCCTTCCATGCTCAGGTCTTGGGGGAGAAAAGAAACAGAGGCGGGGAATAGAGAGAGACGACAGGGGATGGAAAAAAAAAGGGAAATGGCCTTCTATGCCACCCTTTTCATAATTTTAAGTGAAAATACCACCCATTCTTAAAAATTGTAAAACTATCACCTATAAATATATATTTATTGTCCACTTATTGCACAAATATCACTGTTACAGAAATTTTGGTCCCTTCTCAGCTCCCTATTCACTCTCTCTGCATTCGCTTGCTCTCTCTCTCTCTCTCTCAGCTCTCTCTCACAGTTCTCTCTTCCTCTCTCAGCGCTTTCTCTCTCCATCGACCACCACCACTCTCTTTCTCCCTCTGTCGCGAAAACCTAAACAGCACTCTCTTTCTCTCTCTGCAGTCAATGTTAGGGTTTGTTGAGGGGGTTCTTGAAGGTGAAAGAGAGGGTTTCTTCGTTAAATGCTCTCTCCCTTCAACAATCTCTCAATTCCCTCTCTTTTCATGTCTTCAATCGACGTCTTTCTCTTCTCCTCTGCTCCTTCAGGGCCTCAAAAAACCCTAATTCTTGGTTTCGATTCTGACTTTTTTCACATACTTCCTCCTCATTCTCAATCCTCTCAGACAAAATTCGTGCTTTTCTTTAGGTGTTTATGGGATTTCCAATTTGGTTATGTGCGCAAAACGAGTGATTCTAAGGTAGGTTTTGTATTTGTTATTGACTAGTTTGTCTTTTTGTATGGTTTTCATTTGAGAAGGATAATTTCACTAACCTGTGACTGATTTTGTGAAGTTTAGTAATTAGAGAGATTGGAAATTTCTGTATTTTAACTGTGAATTACTTCATGCTTGGATGAAACTTCTATTGGTCTGATTGATTTTGCTCTATTGATGTAGCCTCTCCAATCAATTTCCAAGTCTGGAATTGCATAACAGAGAGCAGAATGGTCGGGTTGATGATTTATCAGCTTCTAAGGTAAAGGGGGAACTACATAAGTGTTTGAATGAGCCTGTTACAGTTGCTACGGTCTTGTTGCCTCGTGGTTTAATCAATTCAGGGAATCTGTGCTTTCTCAACGCAACGCTACAGGCTCTTCTATCCTGTTCTCCTTTTGTTCAGCTTCTGCAGGAATTGAGAACTCGCAAAGTGCCTAAGGTTTCTTTTGTTTATTCGATTACTTTGCATTTACGTGGTTTTAGTAGAATTGCAATTTGCAAATAACAAAATTGATATAGATTGCTGATCTCAGAAAATAGGAAGCTACCTTGCCTATGCTTGTTCTTTTTGTGGCTAATCACTTAACTAATATGTTGTCCATTTGAATTTGAATTTATATAGATTGGGTGCATTTGCAGAGTTCGTCTCTGAATTTGACATGCCTAGTGGTTCAAGTTCAAAGATGCAAGTGTTCTTGAGACTGGTAGGCCTTTTAGCCCTGCCATGTTTGAAGGCATTCTTTAAATTTTTACTCCAGATGTACCAACTAGCATCTCGGGCAGGCCAAGGTGTGTATCTGATCTAGGTGAATAATTTTCTGTTCTAGGTTTTGTCTTTTTGTATTTTTTTATTTCTCTGTTGAGCCTTCTTATTGCAAATTTAATCCTTGATGGTATTGCTGGCTGAAATTGTAAGGCACGATCATTGCAAAAAGATTTAGACACATGCATCTATTTGTGGTCACAAAAGTTGTCCTTCCTTGCCACTTTTTTTCTTTTAAATCCCTTATGCACTGTTTCCTTTCTTTCCTTATATTAATATCTTTTCACTATTTCCAAATAAACAAGAAAGGTCAGACACAGCACAATTTTGTTACTTTGTGATTCTCATAAATCTTGTATTGATCGGTAATGGTTTTCCTTCAGTATTATTAGGCTTGTTTGATAATTCTCATTTGTCTGATGGCTTGAAGTGCCACTGCCTGACATAGCCCATGACTAAAATGCCTGCTGTTACAGTGTCTCCACTTAAATTGTTTATTTTCTGAAAACATGTTACACTTTTTTCCAATTTATTTCTCTGTTTGTGGTTTATTACACCTGTTGCAACCCATTTAATGTGAAATAATGGGTTAGACTGAGATATTTTAGAAGTTAACTTGTGATCGGTAAAATGTTGTAACAAATAGGTTAACAATCTTCTGTACTATTCTGAGTTCGCCAATATTTTCATGGACCAAGGAAAGAAGAAACCTAGAACACCTCAAGAGTAATTACCAAAGGGTTAAATTTGCA